GAGATCTGATGGCTTTTTAAAAACCAGAGTTTGCCTGCACAAGTTCTCTCTTTGCCTGCTGTCATCCACATAAGATGTAACTCGCTCTTCCTTGCCTTCCGCCATGATTGTGAGGCTTCCCCAGCCACATGGAACTAGGATTTCTCCATTAAACCTCTTTCCTTTGTAAATTGTTCAGTCTCGGGTATGTCTTTACCAGCAGTGTAAAAACAGACTAATACATACCATAAATAACTACGTTTAAGTTAGAACATGAAAATGTTGAATGTGATATTTTTAAAAACTATAGGCAAGATATCATGGAAGTTCAAAGGAAAAAGACTACTTTTGATTGAAAGATAGGCTGAGCTGGAAAACAACAGGGTAAGATCAGGGAAGACTACAGATACAGAGCATATGAACTGTGCATTGAAGGAAGGGTATAATTGAGGTGATAAGACTGAGGGTAAAAAGGGGTAGATAACGCTGGGCTCAGTGGCTCACTCCAGTAATCCCAGCACTTTGGGAGGCCAAAGAGGGTGGATCACAAGGTCAGGAGATTGAGACCATCATGGCTAACACGGTGAAACCCTGTCTCTACTGAGAACACACAAAATAAATTAGCCGGGCGTGGTGGCACGTGCCTGTAGTCCCATCTATTAGGGAGGCTGAGGCAGGAGAACGGTGTGAACCTGGGAGGCAGAGCTTGCAGTGAGCCGAGATTGCACCACCGCACTCCAGCCTGGGCGATAGAGCAAGACTCCGTCTCAAAAAGAAAAAAAAAAAAAAAAGGAGGGGGGCAGATAAAAGAGAAAATAAAATACATAAAAGAGCCAGGCACATTGGCTCACGCCGGTAATCCCAACACTTTGGGAGGCCGAGGCGGGTCAGGAGTTCAAGACCAAGCTGACCAACATGGTGAAACCCTATCTCTACTAAAAATACAAAAACTAGCAAGGTGTGGTGGTGTGCGCCTGTAATCCCAGCTACTCAGGAGGCTGAGGCAGGAGAATCACTTGGATCCGAGAGGCGGGGGTTACAGTGAGCCGAGACTGTGCCACTGCACTACAGCCTGGGTAACAGCCAGACTCCGTCTCAAAAAAAAAAAAAAAAAAAAGAAAAGAAAATACGTAAAAGAAAGGACACTTGCTTCAGGTGGCAAAAAAAAAAAGGCACCAGAAACTGAAAACCCAGAGTGAAAGGAAAGAAAGCTAAATGTAGAAGGTGGTAAGGTTTCAAAGGTAAGCAGTGACCAATTTTGAAGGACTCTGAATGCTAGGATTGAATATTCATAATTAATTCAGTAAAATTGGAAGCAGAAAATGAGCAAAAGTTTAACCTTATCTTAGCCGGGCATGGTGGCACACGCCTGTAATCCCAGCTACTCAGGAGCCTGAGGCATAAGAATTGTCTGAACCCAGGAGGTAGAGGTTGCAGTGAGCTGAGATCGCACTACTGCACTCCAGCCTGAGCAATAGAGCAAGACCCTGTCTTAAAAAAAAAAAAAGAAGAAAGTTTAACATTATCACAGGCATGACACATCAGAAACTAAATTTCCATTAAAGCAATTTGATGGATGTGTACGAGATACAGTGAAGGGATAGTAGAAGGGCAAACTCCAATGTGGCTACCATATAGGCTAAGGTTGAGGGCGGTCAGGGGGATAACGGGGAAGTGTCAGGCACTGTAGTGAGATATAATATAACTGAAGTCAGATGATTAAGAACTTTAACTGCTATATTAGGGATCCTGAGTCTCCTCCCCAGTTGGCTGTCTGCTATCAACCTGAGCTGCTAGCAGAGAAATCTCTACCTTCAATGCTCCAGAAGTAAATATGATGAGAAGAAGGGAAAGAAGTCAACAGTGCTCGCCTGCAGATCCCTTAATTTCCTTCCCAACTCTATATGTACTCATTTTCTAGGTATTCTCTCTGAAGGTTGTGTGTGCTGGGTAACAACTTATGGCTTGTAAGCACCACCGCAAAATAACATGCAAGTTTGGTCTAAATGACAAATTACTAAAATAATCAATACAATGGTGGACACTCTAAGACCACAGCCTGACATTAATTACATCAGTTGATTCAACCAATATTTATTACATGCCTTCTATGCAACCAGCACAGAAAATAAACAAGATCCCTGTTCTCAAGGAGCTTCAAGTCTCATTACAAAGAACAATTCTTTAAAACTTTGTAAAGTACATCCAGACATCAGTTATTTCATTAAACAAACATTAAACACCAGCTACATGTCAAATTTGTCCTAGGATTTAGGGATGCAACTATAAACAAGACACGATGGCTGCCCAAAAGAAAGTTTCATAGTGAGGAAGACAAGAGAAATCAAAGATGACACCATGGTACAGTAGTATTCAATATGGTAACTGATGAGTTATGACAGCAGCATAATACAACAAAACAAACTATTCGAGGCTGGGCGTGGTGGCTCACGCCTGTAACCCCAGCACTTTGGGAGGCCGAGGCAGGTGGATCACTTGAGGTCAGGAGTTTGAGACCACCCTGGCCAACATGCGAAGCCTCATCTCTACTAAAAATACAAAAATTGGCCGGGTGTGGTGGCTTATGCCTGTAATCCAGGACTTTTGGAGGCCGAGGCAGGCGGATCACCTGAGGTCAGGAGTTCAAGACTAGCCTGATCAACATGGAGAAACCCCGTCTCTACTAAAAATACAAAATTAGCCGGGCATGGTGGCATGTGTCTGTAATCCCAGCTACTCAGGAGCCTGAGGGAGGAGAATCACTTGAATCCGGGAGGCAGAGGTTGCGGTGAGCCGAGGTGGCATCATTGCACTTCAGCCTGGGCAACAAGAGTGAAACTCTGTCTCAAAAAATAAAATAAAATAATGATAATAATACAAAAATTAGCCGGGTACAGTGGCGGCTGCCTGTAATCCCAGCTACTCAGGAGGCTAAAGCGGGAGAATTGCTTGAACCCGGGAGGTGAAGGTTGCAGTGAGCTGAGATCACGCCATTGCACTCTAGCCTGGGTGACAGAACGAGACTCCATCTCAAAAAAAAAAGAAAAACTACTTTAGATCCTGCTTGAGCACAATGTACCTTTGCATAATTGATCATTTTCAAAGAGCTTTCACATGTTACTTCATTTTATTCCAATAACAACCCTAGAAGGTTAGCTAAGACTTATGTCACTAACCACTAGGTAAGGAAACAAAGCAAAGCTATGACTTGCTCAGGATCACATCGAGCAACAGCAGATCTGGGACAAGAAACTCCACCTCTTGCCTCAAAGTCCAATGCTGCTTCCCTTTGTTCTGATTCCATACCTCACCATATGACCTTGGACAAGTCAACTGGCATTTCTCTTTTTGAGACAAGGTCTCACTCTGTTGCCCAGACTGGAGTGCAGTGGCACGACCTCGGCTCACAGCAGCCTCTGCCTCCCAGGCTTAAGTAATCCTCCTTGAAGGGAATGCTTAAAGCTAATGTAGCCAGAGACAGGAAGAAAAGGGTATGTAGGCCTGGCACGGTGGCTCACATCTGTAACTCCACCACTATGTCAGGCCGTAGTGGGTGGACTGCTTCAGTCCAGGAGTTTGACACCAGCCTGGGCAACATGGAGAAACCCCATCTCTACAAAAAAAAATTTAAAAATTAGCCTGGTGTGGTAGTTCCAGCTACTTGGGAGGCTGAGGTGGGAGGATTGCTTGAGCTCAGGAGGCGGAGGCTGCAGTGAGCCAAGATCATGCCACTGCATTCTAGCCTGGGCAACACAGAAAGACTGTCTAAAAAAAAAAGAAAGAAAGAAAGAAAGAAAGGGGTGTGTATATGTATATAGGAGAGAGCAGAAGTGTGTGCGTTTGGGTGGGGTGGCCAGAAAGTTCAGAGGACGGTCTAGGCAGACGAATAGCATATGTAAAAACGACCCAGAGGTTAGAGATGCTACACCTGTAAATATTGTATATTTAGTAAAATTCCAAAGAGTAGTTTGCATAAGATGCATACATTTTAAATGTTTCAGATGACTCAGAATCCCTGCAGAGAAAGTTACGTCCCCCTCCTAACAGTCTTTCACAAGGTGTAGTGGTCAGTGACCCTAAAGATCTCTGCGGGTGGAACTTGCATGTTTAACAAGCTCCCAGACAATTCTCCTGCACACTTAAGCTGGAGAAACAGAGATGCTTTTTGAGATGCAGAATTATCAAATTACATGCGGTTCCCAAACTTTGCTGCACGCTGGAATCACTTGGGCATCTTTAAAAAACATATTGAAGTCTGGCTTTCACCTCCAGATATTCTGACTGTTTTGGTCTGGGATGCCACATGGGCATCAGAAACCTTTACAAGAGTCCCCAGGTGATTTTACCGTGTAGCAAAGTTGGAGAGCCACTGCCCTAATTGTTAAGCACTTGGGTCTCTGGAGTTGGATGCTTCGGTTCAAATTACTAGCTATGCGACCTTGGGTAATTAAGTCACCCAACCACCCAGGGACTCAGCTGCCTCGTCAGTAAAATGGGGACAATAATCCTACCTCATAGGGTTGCTATGAAGTTAGACGTGGTGAACGTAATGGCCTGGCATGATGCCTGACGGATAAGAAGCGCTTAATGGGGGTTAGCTGTTTACTCTCATCATCAACTCTTCTTCATCAAAGTGTCACTGTGCAATGGGCAGCATCGTCCCCACTGGGCGGCAGCAACTCGCCTAACCTTTCTGCTGGACCAAATTCTTTGCGGGAGTTGTCTCGCTCCGCTCCAGACCCGCCCCCTCCCCCAGGTTGCCAGGAGAGCTTTGCCCGGCCGGGGAAGCTCCCAAGGATTAGACCGGGTTTACAGACTCGACAGCAACCGCCCACTCCAGGGCCAAGCTTTCCCCGCCCCCGTGGGTCTCCCAAACATTTGGAGATGCGCTTCCAAAGGCCGGGCCCCTGGAGCACCCAGAGCCAAGAAACAAGCCTCAGCCGTCCCTGGACCGCCGGGAGGGGAAGAGAGGGGAAGGAAAGGTGAGGGTCCGGCCGCGGCTGGGCCGACTGCCCGGTTACCTGAGGCGACGGGCGGGGCCCGCATCGCCGGGGCGGGCGCCGCCGCCGGCCGTACTCGGCCTTCCGCCTCACGCGACCCGTGCCATAGGGCCGGCGCTTTCACCGCCCTGGCCGGCCGTCCTCAGACGGTCCGTCAGTCCACCCGTCAGCGACTCTCCCAGGGCGCCAAGGGACGACGAAGGCCAGTCGGGCCAGCCGGCTGGGCTCTGCTCAGGCAACTTCCGACTGCCAGGGGCGGCGGCGTCAAATAACTCCCCTGCCAAGTGGGCCACTGCGCGTGCGCGATGTGCCTAATGAGCGCTTTCTGCGGGGCTGAACCGGTGGCGTCAAATAATTCCCGAGACACAGAGCCGGAAGCTGCGCCTGCGCAGCTATCCCAGCTCGCCGCGCGGGACGCATTCCGTCCTTCCTTTCCGGATCAAGTGGAGAGGGAGGAGTGAAGTGACGAATGCGCCTACCTCATCGCAGCACAGAGGAGGCGCTCCACCTGCGTCCTTAGGAATCTTACGACATCCTCTCTACCTGCTTTCGGTACAGACGGAGTAAGGGGCTTCTCTGCAAGATTCTGGCTCCCACCCAGGTTCTAGGAATTTCTCCCATTCCACCATTACAGCACCCTTCCTCTGACATGACGTTCTTTACTCGCCGCACTCTTATTACACGGGCACAGCATTAATTATGAGCAGTACTCTATTCCAGGCTTGGTGTGGGTTACAAAGGTGAATCGAACATAAGATTTAGAGCCTCTCATTAAAGAACTGAATCTCATAGAGATAAGACATAATAATAGGAAGAGATACTACTTCGAGCACCTGCAATGCGCCAGACATTTTGTAAACAGTACCCCTTTCAATAATTTGCTTTCACTTCAACGAAGAAACTAATACCATTGGAAAGGTACAGCTTAAGTGCTTTGAGAGTGTAAAGGAGGAAACTTGGACTGAGAGAGGAGGGAGGGATGGTGGAATTCTTCACGGAGGACCTGGCCTTGAGGCTGACCTTGGGTATTCAGAGAGGGAGGGGTCAGGGTATTGAGTAGAGGTGAAGGCACGGTTGTCTGAAAAGCAGAAAGGAGCAAAGAAGATTCTGACTCCTCACCTCAGTTAGAAGAGACTATGGAGGAATGAGTGATAAGGGAACTAGTATCCTCACAGAAAGGGTAAAACTGAAGAGTGTTTCCTCAGGACCACACCTCACTCCCCAGGAAAATAGCTACAGGAAGGAAGAGGGAAAAGGAGGGTAAGAATGTGCTAGGGCAGGAACGAGGCTATGTCCAGGACACTGGGGATCCAAGCAATACATTTCAATTAAACACAGTGTGACAAATTATGTAGTAGGCTAACTCAAGATCTATTTCAACCACTCCCTTGCCTTTCTATACTACAGGGGCTGAAAAGCAAAGCACACAGCTCTCAACCTCCCTTGCTGCTAAGGGTGGCAGTGAGACAAAGTCCTGACCAATAAGATGTAGGCAGAAGTATCAAAGGAGACCTTCCCTTCTTTTTTCCCTTGGAGAAGTTTGTGTCCTTCACTTTTCCCCTGCTTCATACTTGGAACTGGGTAACACCTGGGGGCACAGCAGCCTAGAGGCCATGAGGAGGACTGTGCTAAGGAAGGTGGAGCAGAAAGACAGGAGCCTGCTTGTTTAGGTCATACTCAAGCAGTTATACAAACCCTGTACTACCTTCCTGTCTTATGGGGGTGAGGGATCTTATGTATACCAGAGTTTGTTGAGTTTTCTGTTACTTGCAACCAGATGCATTCTAACACAATACTGAACACCTGTAACAGACAAGGGAGGGGTGACTAATTGGAAGAACAACGGGTGATGGGAATTGGAAAAGTGACAGGCACAGAGGATGGGAAAGCTGTCCAAAAGCCCTTGGGGAGATGATTAAAATATAGCTATCACCCTCCTAGTGGTTTCAATTCATTCCTGAAATTCTGCTTCTAAGTGGAAAGCTATTAAATTTTTCCCATTAATTAAAATGGGCAGCAGGGCGCGATGGCTCACACCTGTAATCCCAGCACTTTGGGAGGCCGAGGCGGGCGGATCACGAGGTCAGGAGATCGAGACCATCCTGGCTAACAGGGTGAAACCCGTCTCTACTAAAAATACAAAAAATTAGCCGGGCGTGGTTGCGGGTACCTGTAGTCCCAGCTACTGGGAGGCTGAGGCAGGAGAATGGCATGAACCCGGGAGGCGGAGCTTGCAGTGAGCTGAGATCGCGCCACCGCACTCCAGCCTGGGCGACAGAGCGAGACTCCATCTCAAAATAATAATAATAATAATAATTAAAATGGGCAAAATTGTGTTCAATTCCAACCTAAGGCACCTAAATATTGTTAACAGAAAAAATATATTGATGCAACAGAAAATTATACGAACAATAAATTTGCTTAAAATATGGTTTTTACATAAAATGTAATGCATTAAGACTTACTGCTCTGGACAGAAAGACAAGATTTAATATTAGGTGCAAGTTGATGGAGGAGAGATGCAAATGAGTCATTCTCTAAATGATGGTTTGTTTTTTTTAAGAGACAGGGCCTCGCTATGTTGCCTAAGCTGGCTTCGAACTCCCAGGCCCAAGCGATCCACCTGCCTCAACCTCCCAAGTAACTGGAACTAAAGGCACATATCACTGTGCCTGGTATAAAAGATATGTTTTTCCTGTACTCTTTGCTGATTTTTAAAACTTTTGAGGGCTTCACTTAAACAACCTTAAAAATAAAACACACATACACACATATACCTCGAGGGAAAATTAAAGACTAAACATTAGAACACTTTGAAACATTTGAGAAAAGCACACATGTGTAATAAACCTAAAAGACACATGAGATGCTAGATATAGTAAAACATTTTGGATTCTCCAAACACAGTACACAATTCAAATTTGTTCCTCAGCATGATCTCTGACTAGAAACACCGACTAAATTGGGGAATGTCTTCGTCTGAAACTGTAATGTCAAAATAGCATTTTGTATAGTACGTTGGAAAGGCACAGAATTGGAAAAAAGAGGAGCAGTGGTATAAGCTTTTGTGACACGCTTTTTTCCAAAGATGACTTCACCAATCTGTTTTGTTTCATTTACCCTGAAAGCATCACCCTGGGAGATGCCATACCAAAATATATGACCCATCCCGTGGTTCTCCTTATGATGTAACTGACACTCCTCCCACTAAGAAGTGGAATCAATGTTCCTTCTCCTTGAGTCTGGCTGAGTCTGTGACCATTCCAACCCAATAGGGCAAAAGTGATGCTATGTGATTTCTGGGGCTAGGTCATAAAGAAGACACAACTTCTACCTGGCTTGCTACCTATCACAATACTCACTCTTGGACCCCAGCCACCATGTTGGGAGGAAGCCCAAGCCACATAAAGGAAACATGAAGAGGTGTTCCAGCTACCAGCCCTAGCTAAGTTTCTGGTGTCAGTCAGCATCAATAGCCAGATTGAGGAAGCCTTCAGATGATTCTGGTCCCCAGGCTTCAAGCCTCCACCCCCCACCTAACACCAAGCTGAGCAGGGACAAACTAACCCTATTGAGAGCACCCATAAGAGATGTGGATCCATGAAAAATATTGAGCAGTCCATATAGCAGATTCATGAGTAAAATAAATAATGTCATTTACCCCTAACCACTAAGTTTTGGGGTAAATTGTATGTAGTCACAGTAACTGGAACACTTTTCAAGAACCATAATTGAGAAAAGTTTGTAACTGAACAGCTTTATGTGAGATACATCTGTGGCCATTTTTTTTTCTGGTTTTATTTTTCCTTCTTTTTTAATTGTGCAGTACCAGCTTGGGGTAGAAACAGTTGGTCAGATCCATTGCTGTTTCTCCTGAACCTAACACAATACTGGCATGGTGTAAGTGCTCAATGAACATGTGTTGGATGGATGGATGGATGGATGGATGGATGGATGGATGGATGGATGAGGGGATGGACAGAAGCTTCATTGGCTCAGTGCTGAACCCACCTTCTTGCTCCTACTGTTAAGTCTTAGTGGATGGTATCCAGTGGTTGATGGTCGTAACACCATTAGAGTCAAGCAAGTGGGGCCCCTTGTGCCAGACCCTGTGCCTTAAAAGGGTCCTGCACTTTGGACTGTATTCCTCAAAAGTTTTTAAGTGCCCTCTGGGGCTAGCAATGCCATTTAGGAAGGGTGTCTCTGTCTAGACCAGATCCCACATGACTCTTGTTGACCACAGTTTTCTACCTTGAAATTTTTCAAGTCTCTCTCCAGTGGTTGGGACTGGCCAGGGTGAGTGGTGCCATCTAGGCAGGGCAACCAAGCTCCAGACCAAGTCTGTTCCCTGTGGGTGCCATTTGCCATTTCTCCTCTTCAGGGTGCTCTCCAACCCTCTCTCTTACCCCTACCCATCTCTCACACATACGTAGGGTCGACCAGATGCCCTGAGAAACTCCAGAACTCATGTTTATGGAGTCATCATAGCCAGATCTGGTTCTGAGAGCAGCCTTGCACAGCTCACTCCTGCTGACTGGCGTAGAATTTCTTTCACCAGATTATATGAGATTAAGCTATCAGAAATGGTATTGACATGCTGATTGGGGGTAACTCTCACTCACTTGGACACAGCACGAGTTCAAGGGTCTGGGCTCTGCAAATGCTTATGCTTGAGCTGCTTGAGTGGATATATGCCTTGGCTTGTCCCTCTGTCTTCAGGCCAGAGTGCCACGTCTGGCTTACTGCAGCCAGGGTGATCTTGGGGAGGAGGATACGTGTGGCAGGCATCCTTTACCTGTGCACCCCTTCCCCAGCTGGCTCCAGGGCAGTCACCTCACCGCTTTGGCAGACTCCGGATCACTTGTCAGTCTGTCCTCCAGGATTGGCCATGCCTATCTCCTCTGTCGTAGTCTGCTCGGGTTGCTATAACAAAATACCACAGCCTGGGTACCACAGCCTAAACAACAGATGTTTATTTCTCACAGTTCTGGAGGCTGGAAAGTCCAAGATCAAGGTGCTGGCCTATTTGGTTCCTGGTGAGGGCCCTCTTCCCCGCTTGCCTTCTTGCTATGTCCTCACGTGTTAGAGAGAGGAAACTTTGGTGTCTCTTCTGCCTCTTATAAAGGCATTAAATCCAGCCGGGCACAGTGGCTCACGCCTGTAATCCCAGCACTTTGGGAGGACCAGGCAGGCGGATCATTTGAGGTGAGGAGTTCGAGATGAGCCTGGGCAACCGGCAAAACCTTGTCTCTATTAAAAATACAAAAATTAGCCAGGCGTGGGGGCACACACCTGTAATCCCAGCTACTCGGGAGGCTGAGACAGGAGAATTGCTTGAACCCAGGAGGCGGAGGTTGCAGTGAGCTGAGATTGTGCCACTGCACTCCAGCCTGGGCAATAGAGCAAGCAAAACTCCATCTCAATAAATAAATAAATAAATAAATAAATAAATAAATAAATAAACAAACCTATCATGGGGGTTCCACCCTCACGACCTTATCTAAACCTAATTACCTCCCAAAGCCCCACCTCCTAA